ACAAGTGTGTTCAGGTACCGCTAGCTGCTTTAGTTTAGTTAGAAGAATGTCTGGAATGATGGTATTGAATGCTGAACTGAAGTCTACAAAAGAGGACCCTTGCGTGGGTATTTGGAGTTTCAAGGTTTTGTAGGATGTAGTGCAGAGCCATATTAACAGCATCATCTGTCGATCTATTTGCTTGGTATGCAAACTGCATGGGATATAACAGCAGATCCATGATGGTTTTCAGGTGGGACAGCACTGGCCTTTCAAAGGTTTTCATAACTACCGATATTAGAGCAACTGGCCGGTAGTCATTCAGTTCCCTGAGGGAGGGCTTCTTTGGCACTGGGGTAATAGTAGAGCATTTGAAGCAAGAAGGAACATAGCACATCTCTAGTGATTTATTGAATATTCGGGGGAAGATGGGGCCAATTGGTCAGCACAGACTTTTAAGCAAGAAGACCAGGGGTATCAAACTGGTGGCCCTCAGGCCGGATGCATCATTCGTAGGCCATGTCCATCCAGGCTCCATGAAGGGAAAAAAGTCATGATATGTCACGTGATGGCAACATGATGTGGCAAGTTTGACACCTATGTGTTAGACACCTGTGTGCTTCCTTAGTGTCTCTGAGCAATTGCAGGAAAGGAATAGTAGTTATAAACCTAATAAAAGGTCATAGAAATGTTATTATTTTTTCTATTTAGAGTGAAAGGGGATAGTACAAATGTATGCTGAAATTTACTAATATCCATGGAAAGTAAATTATGCAGTCATCAATTTTTAGAACTCTGAATATCAATCTGTCATCCATGAAGATTAAATATAAAAGAATTTTCAGGCTTAAAAAGGGAGGGTGAGAAAAACATGGAAATTATTGGCAATTTTAGACATGTGAGAAGCAGATAGAGGAAAATAGACTGGACTGAGAATTCAAGAGAAATCTGTGGAATGCAGATGTAATTTTGGAAGAATAAAGGAAAGTTGCTGTAGCCATGGCTCAATCTGAAATAATACTGATTGTTTAAGGAATTCCAATTTCCTTTTGATGTGCCATAGAATTATTATTGAAAAATCTCCAATGATCATTCATTCCAAGGTAATTCAGGCTGCAGTTTTATAAGATAAGGTAAGATAACCTTTATTGTCACTTTTCTGTATAGACGATGGAAATATATATACAGCGAAAGTAATTGCAAATGACTTTCAATTAGAAAAAAAGAATTTGATTGTGCCTGTGACAGTCTTCCTGGCATTCCTTACAATTTGGAAAGCTGGGAGGTACATGACAATATAATAGATGCAATCCATTATAAATTATGCAGTATTTACCTTCGCACAGGTTGAATGAACATAGAAAAAACAGTCATCCCCAACTTCTGTCATTTCACCTCTCGTGCTTCTACTCCACTGCCTTTAGAAAGATCTCAGCATAAATGTTGGAATTATCAACATGTATGGGAAGAATATTCCCTTTTGTTCTGAGTACAGCTGAATGCAGGATCTAAGTTCTATTTCCTCTTAAAGGGAAACCTCCAGTTGATAGATTTAACCAAAAAGCTTCTTATACTAATTGTAAAACAGACGGTACCTTCTTAAGGTTTGTTGAAGAGCTCACAAATTGAAAGTGGTTGCTAGACAGTGCACAAATTCAAACTTCCAGAATTTCTTTCATTGTTACCTTAGTTCTTATGACATCATCACAAAGGACATCATATGGCCCCTCAAACTGGGAAAGCTCACTTATTTTCATTGTTCCTAAGTGCTGGAAAACAGGAAGAAGACAGCAATTTCCACATGATCTACTCATCTAGTTATTCCAACATAACATAAATGTATGAAAGAAATACAACTCAGTTAAGAGAATTTCTGAAACTCATAATGGACAGAACTGAGAATGAGACAAGAATGAGAATAAAGATCCTCATCTTTTCTCTATCAGAAACTCCCAATTTGCCAGGATTTTAATTATTTAAATGATTTGGTTCCTAAGCTTATCTGGCATCATATACGCTACTAACACATATATATATCAGTCGATCAAATCTTTATTATGGTCATGGCATAATGCACACATATGTAGTACAGGTCCTGTTATTAATGGCATGTGCATCAGTGAGTCTTTGAATAACTACTAATATTGCCAGAGGTATTGAGCTATGGGATAGATGCTTAATTGCATGAAAGTAAGTATAGTTCTTTGCTTGTTGTTTCTATGGCACAGTTTAAATGCAGGTTTTGAAAAGCTCGTTGTCTGGGGATATTTGAGTTGGTTGAGAAAAATAATCTGTTAGAGAGAAAAACAAAGAAATACTGGAACAAATATCCTAAGAAGACCAATCAAAAAGGTCAGCTTTGATTTTTCCACTCTGTGGGAGGGAGAAGGACTTACTGAACAGTGGCAAAAACATTTGCAATAGTTACAAGGAACTCCTAAAGCAGATTCACCCTAAGGACACATGAAGTGCAATGTTATGAGATGTTCATAGAAGAAACCATAAAGATGCCACATGAAACTAAACCAATTGGTTTTGTTGTATAATACATTAATATTTGCAGCTTGCATTAGTTCTAAATATTCATGTATTCATTTATAAACCAATGGAATCAATCAGTTCTCAGTGGTAACGATCAAGAATTAACCATAAAGTTTTAGATACCATAAAGAAAAGATTCGTTACAATATATGAGACATGAATAGAATAACAGAGCAGTACATTATTTTTGCTGAGTAGGTGCAGGTCCCATCACAATATTTACATTATTAATTTGTGAATTCACATTTCTTTAAAAAAAAATTAAATCTAAAGTTCAGGAACTGGCTTTTTTTTTTTTCAAATAAGGGAAAGCATTTGAAGAGCATATTTAAAATATTATTTTTTTAAGGAACTTGAAAATAATTATGAATGTGAGAGTCAGTCTGTCCACTAGCTTAAGGCATCAGGCCACAAACCAGGAGACTGTGAATTCTAGGCCTGCCTTAAGCACAAAAGCTGGTTGGATAACTTTGGGCCAGTCACTTTCTCAGCTCAACCCACTTCAGAGGGTTGTAGGGAAAATAGAAAGAGGAAGGGGGATTATGTATGTTTGTGCCTTGAGTTATAGGTAGTCCTCGACTTACGATCACAATTGAGCCCAAAATTTATGTTGCTAAGTGAGACATTTGTTAAGTGAGTTTTGCCCCATTTTACAACCTTTCTTGCTATAGTTCTAAAGAGAATCACTGCAGTTGATAAATTGACTTTGCTTGTCAGAAGGTCACAAAAAGTGATCACATGATGCCAGGACACTGCAATGGTCATAAATATGAACTAGTTGCCAAGCATCTGAATTTTGATCACAAAAATGCTACAAAGGGGATGCTACAAAGGTTGTAACTTTGAAAAATGGTTATCAGTCACTTTTTTCGGTGCCGTTGTAACTTTGAATGATCACTAAATGAAGTCTTGTAAGTTGAGGACTACCTGTATTTACAAAAATAACTCAAGATATAAATAAATAAATACATACATACATAATAAACAAATAATTGATGGTGTAAATGTAACTAAGTATACAGGAGCTACTCCAGAGATAAATGTTAGAAATGGTAACAATTAAACTTGTGAAATTGTGTAAATATTTTTCTGGGAGTGTAAGAAATAATTAATTAATTATAATTATTTTCATTGTTTCAAAGTGGTTTGGGAAGCATGATACTAATGCACAGACAGAAACTTTACAAGGAATGTTTATGAATCAATGGCTTCACACTTAAGACTGCTTTTATATCTTATAGAAGCCATGCATAATTTTTCAAAGGAGGCCTCTGTATAATGAATGCAGCATTTCTGAATGGCCCTTCAGATAAGAGCCTAATTCTGTTGAACAGTGTCGCCTTGAAGATTTGGATGGCCCCCAATTCAGTTACACTTACACATTTGTAAGGCATTGAAGACCTGGCTGTTTCCCCAGGGACTTGGATCAGGTAAACAGATAAACTCAATGTGCCAGTTTTCTGTGCATGGGGCTATTTATCTTTGGGTGCGGCGAAGGAGGTTATATGTGTTTTTTTTTTTCCTGTTTTAACCCTTGTAAGTGACTCAGTCATTTGTATAAAGTGATAAAAACAGACATTAGGTAGTATTGCAAAATCAATACCGGCCATTACTGACAATACAAGGAACAAGTGCAAAAATTCACATTGCTGTTCCTGAACTACGTATATAGCTCAAGCACTGTAGATCTTTGGGCTGAAAACATGTTAAGGACCACTGGATGGCAGAAAAGAATTTGCTGCCATCTAACATTGGATTTGGATTTTTTATTTAGTCCTATATAAGTTGCCACCCTAAATGTCACTGTATCAAAGAACAATACAATGTAAATGCAAGCAGGTGAATTCTAAAAATAATATATATTCTTCACTGATAAACGATAGTTACTAACTATTCCCAAATATTTAAAGCAAATGGAAAATGATTCTGAACGGCACAATATTTTGATTTGAGAACCAAAGTATTAAAAACTAACATACTTTTTTTAGGATACAAAACAATACACATTCTTGATTTTATTGCAAGGTACATGATTTTTTTTTTTAAAAAAATCCCTCTTATTAAATATTAATAATCTTCGACTGCACGAAATGCGTCTGTATGAATTCTTCATACAAACCATTTTTAAAAAAATCTGTGAAATATTTTAAGGGTTAAACCACCAAGATCGAGGTCAGTTCTAAGCGCTAACTCAACTTCCAAAAATTAAAGCTGTAACAAAGAAGTGGTTATGTGGGGCGCGTATATTACGTAATCTTTTTCCTTTTAGATTAACATCCTAGTCGTGCTGGCTGGGAGTTGTAGTTTAATACATCTGATGAGCACCTGGTTGGTAAGAGATGATGGAGGAACAATGGATGAAAACTGCGATCAAAATAATTCGCCTCCTCTAATTCAACGAATAGAGCACTCGGAAAGGTGTGGAGCCTATCTCGATCCGGCCTTGGACTACATTTCCCAGAAATCTGTTCAGTGAGACTTACCCCCGCCGCGTCTGTTGTTGCTCAAGGAGCGGCTTGCAGCAGTTGAGAATAGGAGGCTTCCCGCTTGCAGGGGGCGAAGGGCCGCGTTCTTGGGGCCATGAGTCGCCTGGGCTCGGTGCAGCAGAAGGTGCCCTGCCTCTTCGTCACTCAAGTGAAGGAGGAGCCCTCGGCCAAGCGGGAGCGCCAGGTACTGGGGTCGGAGTTACCCGCCGGGGTGAAGGGAACCGCGGGCCTGTCAGAAAGAAAAACTGGGAAGTCTCAAGCGGAGAATTGGATATTGACTTTTCCGGACCGGTCGCGGGTCATAATAGAACCAGACACGAGCCTGGCTGCGCGAAAAACAACCTGCAGCACCTGCAGGGAGAATTTATTTGCGCCGGTTTCTCTCGCCCAGTTTTGCAGCACGCCCACGTGAAGCTGCCGTGGATGTGCGGCAAGGAACGACTTTGGATTAAGAGGTAGAGTCGCTTCACCTCTTCCAAAATCTCTGCCACGTTTACTTCGCGGAGGTAACAGAAGCTGCTTTTATACTCAGGACGGCATCCTTGTGCATTACTTAGGTACTGATGGGCCTTTTTTTTAGGTGAAAATACTTTACAAACAGTGAAATAGTCTTGACGCTTCAAAAGGAAGCTGGCAAATTGGAACTCACCTCCTTAGGTTTTTATCTCCTTGTGAGAGTAGGTTTTTCAGGGAAAATAATGTATCCTGGGTTACCCTTTAGCTGGCAAAATATTGCTCCCCCAAACATTTCTGTTGGTACAAAACTTTGCAGCTACCATCCGTTAATTTAATAAATTTACTTCATAAAAGCTACTGTATTTGGACAAGTAGAATTTTCAGAAGATTTAAACTTTATCCCATCAGATTATTACAACAAACATTCCACCTCCGTTTTTAATTTTCTGCTGGTTATGTTTTTAATTTCAAACTGAGACTCAGCTACTTTACTGGGGTCATCTTTTTTTAAAACAACAACAACAACCCTTTGATAGAAATTTTTAAAGTGTTAAAGAAGACTACATTTGCCAAAAAGTTTACAATGATCATTTTCTTTTCAGACTTTTAAAGTGTTGGCCACCAACTCAATTAATAAAAAGGCTTTAGCTGCAGATATATACAATGCAATTCCAACAGAAAAGGTGGATGGAACTTGCTGTTATATAACTACATACAAAGGTAATATAGAATTAAATTTAAAATGTTACTGTACTAGGTATTATGTATGTGAAGAGGTAGCATGCACATTTTTGTAAATGAATAATTCAAAATTAGGATGTTCCTTTTCTACGTATAAAACAATGCCGGCAAGCGTGTTCTGCTGCTCAGCATGGCTTAGTTTCCTAGTAAGACTTCAATTTGAATAGTATAATGTAGCTGTCAGTCTACAGTCATGTATGCTATCTAAGCTGCAGAAATGTGTCTATGAAGGTTCTGAATGTTAATACCTGTGTTAGATGGGTATCTTATTCCAAGAAATTCCAAATATAGCCATATCTCAGAGCTTTATCTTGCAGTCTTTTAGTTGAAGACCACCATCTCTTACAATTTTTTTTCTTCCTGGCATTTTCCCACAAGTGCAGGGTCTGGGTTTTTTTTAGATCAACTAAATGCAGTTTGTTGCTAAACAACAGTATCTGTATTATTGGATAATTGCTTAGTCTAGAATATGACAAGGATAGAAATAGCCAAGCATGTGTAGGCTACTCATCTTTTAGACATTAACACTAGGTTTTCTAATATACATGTTCACTTCTTTGTAAAACTTCATTTAGTGATAATTTATAATACTATAAGGATTTTGAGAACAGAAACTAATATTAATAAATTAATATTAATATGAAATTAATAAGGTTTACAAACAAATGTTTAATTTCTCCAGGATTGTCTTGTAAAATATATTGTCCTTTTCTGGGAAACTGTTACCTTGATGTAGTGGAAAGGTTCAATAGCTCCAATTATTTTAAGAAAAATATCTTGAAAGTGTCAAACTTCAATAATAGCTCTGGAGATAATTATATAAAGATACATAACAAGATCAAAACTGGAAAAAAAACATTAATTATGGTATGGGTGTTCAATGAACATCAGCATTAAGTGATACTGATGAAAGACAAAAAAACCAGGAAGGAATAGTGATAGAAGAAAATGTACAGATGCCCATCCATTCCACTTATTTCTGATGTAGGCAAACTTTTTGTCAAGATGTTACTAAGAAAAATATTCATACATAGAATATAGCTAGCTTGAGATAATGTGGAAAGTAACAGGAGTACTGAAATAGGTTTCCCTTTATTTCAATGGATATAAGAAGACCTTTGATTTTGTGAATCATGATTGAATATAGAATATATTAAAACCAATAGAACATGTGATCATTCTTAGGACATTTTAGTGAACAAAAGAGCTACTATAAATTACTGAATGTGTAATTCATTTGAGAATAAGAAAGGGTATGTGATAAGGATGATTCTTGTTTCCATTTTCTTTATCTTACCACTAAATATAGGGATGAGAAGACTGATAGCTATGTCAAAATACTAACAATTGGAAATGTGTAGATAACAATACTTTGATGGTCAGAATTGAAGCATACTTAGACTCAGGAAAGCAAAAATATAGAGTGAAAAATCAGGATTATGCTTGATTGCTGTTATTTCAATTCAAAATAGTGCATCCACTTACAGAATCTAAGCATGAATTATTTTTTATATGCTCATATCACGTTTGCTTATTTCTGTAGATATATGCTGCTTCAACAATACCTCACACCTTGTTTATGAAATAATTGGAAAAAAAAAATCAAACTTTCAATCTCATTGTAGGTCATCCATACCTTTGGGCCCGACTTGATAGAAAACCAAACAAGCAAGCCGAGAAGAAGTTTAAGCAGTTTATGTACTCAGCAGAACACTCAAAAGGTAGGGGATTTTTCTGATACATATTGTAACAAAAAACTGATAATGAAGGCATTTCATCTTACGTTTCCCTCTGTCCTTGAAGAATTATCTAGAGAATATCAATTCCTGATTACCAGTAAGTTGAAATGTTTTGATCAAGTTCTAATTATAGAAGTGCCTTGCTACAATGAATTAGTAGTTTGAATGTATGATATGCCATATGCTAAATAAATAAAAGTAGTTTGAATATCCTTTAGTTACCATTTTGTCAGTGAAAGTAATGAAACACACTTCAGAAACTTTAAATGGGGCAGCAAAAGTAGATGCAGTTATATTTGCAACCTAATAGCAATGAAAAATTGATACACACACAAAAAAAGAATTGTCATTGCCAAATTGTTACTTGTTACTTATCCTAAATTGTAAACCTGTTCGAAGGCAGGAGATAGTTAAATGGTAACTTTTACAAAGGTGTTAATATTCTTGCCTACAGGATTTACGTGGAATATTGAAGATGATTTCAGGTCTGTCCCTGAATGCTGGATTCCAGCCAAGGACATAGAGTACTGCAATGGAAAGCCTTTTCCTGATGAAAACGGACACATTCCAGGTATAAAAATATTATTTAATATGAGAAATCCTTATTCTAAACATCTAAAGTCATCTTTCCTTTTAGAAAAGATTTCATTTAGAGTGTTAGAAATTTGTTTTTAGAAAAATCTATAAATTAGTTAAATGAAGTCAGATATAATGGTACTGTATCATGTAAGGGATATATGTGGTGATTTGTACATCAAATTGGAAAGTACAAAGTTAATTCTGCCTACTTGATCAGAAGAAAAGGAATTGTATGTTCTTCTTTCTTAGGAAAATCCTATTTCTTCCTGATCTTCAAAATATGTCATGAAAAACACTTTCATTTTGAACTTTTCTTTCATGAACTTTCAAATTTATTTTTCCCTCTCCAAAAGTAAAATATTAGGTAAAAAAAACCTTTTGTTTCCTTTATCATTTTATTAGTGATGCTAAGACCTCCCTTCCATTTTAAAGATAAATTATGTGGGGGAGAGGAGAAACTAGATGAATTCAGGTGAATTGAGCAAAACATCCTATCCTGACTGTTCTCATTTAACAGCTTCCCATAATACAAGCAAAAGAAACATTAATATGTTAGTAGCTACCTGGAAAATATACATTCCCTTCCTGAGAATTGTTCACCACAACTTCAGAGTGAAAATTGTTAATGGACTGTGGTCTGCATTATACTAAAAATAGAATTCTTTCCAAATAACTTACTAATGCTGTCAACAAATATACCAATTGCCAAAAATTAGTTAGAGGCAATCCTATGATTAACCTTCACCTTAACCATCAGATTAACCTTCCCCAGTATGGGCATTCTTCAGATATATGGATTTCAAGTCCCCAAATTCCCAGCACTGATTGCGCTGGTTGGGCATTCTGAGGGTGAAATTCACATATCTGTAAAGCATTCAACAGTTGCACTAGTTCTTACAAGCTTGATATTCTGTTTTAATACTGTTTGAAAGAAAATGCAGATGGTTAACAAATCATACTTTATTTCCTATTGAGAGTAAAAGGTTAATCCTTACCATGAAAATCCTTCTGTTTTTTTATACATACTCATATTCATTATTCAAAATGTTTTTAAATGTACACTAGCCAGAATCACTGATAGGGAGTGTTAGGATGGTTCCTAAAAAATGTATTATAGTCGGCTGTTTGCTGTTCTTAAACTATTGATGATGGTGGTTTCTAGATGTTAGTTTTTGTGAGTCATGTAGTTCCTTGACTTTTGAGTTAGGAGTACTTAATTTTGAATACCTCTGTGCTCCAAGTGAAAAAAAAATGTTTCATGATTTTTTGTATTTCAAAACACAAGAATAAGCTATGGAGTTTTTCCTTTTTGAATTGAAATAAAACTGGATCTTAGTAAAATCCCATTCTTGATTAGTGAATATTTTTCAATCACTCATTTTCTGTATGCAATAAAACTTATATTTATTGCACTAATATTTTTATTCATATATCAAGTCAAATCAATCTCAATCAGTCTCAAGACAATACTAACATTGTGTTTCATAATAATCAGGTTGGGTGCCAGTAGAAAAAAACAGCAAACTATATTGTTGGCATTCTTCTGCTGTTGATTATGAGTATGAACTTGCTCTCATTCTGAAGCATCATGCTGAGGAACCTGATCTTCTAGAAATCTGTCCAGTACCTTTAAGTGAATTTACAGAGCAAACACTGGAACTTATTGGAACAAATATTAATGCAAATCCATATGGTAAGCACTTCAACTCATTAAAAAAAATCAGATGATATATATAGCAATATATAGCAAAACCATTACACTAAAATTACAAATGTAATAATGTAGAAATGAAAAACACACAGTAAAAGTGTAATGAAGTTAATTAGAAAGGTAATCCAATGCTTCAAAGCATGAACATAGCATTTGTCTGGAACTGTTTAAAGTAGCATGGACCTTGTAAGGCCCAGCCATATATGACAAATCTAAAGAGTTGCAGACAGGTGCTATGTACATGCACCAATGAATTATGAAGCAACAGGAATAATTTTCCCAATTCTAGTAGTTGGGTTATGTACTGAAAGCGTTCAATTGTAAAAATAACATTGCTCTATGACTTTGATGAAATAAAGGATTGTAATAAACTATTAGACAATTCAATCGAAGTGACCTCTTAGACAAGATAAATGAAAAACCTAGATACATATAGTGGTAGAAGTAAATTATGGAAGCAAGTATTATAATATAGTGGATTTTGAAGAAGGAACCATTCATTAATATGAGGAGTTTCTGTAATAAAATAAAATATGCTAGTCATAAGTTTTTGAATGTTTTAATAGGTTTAGGAAACAAGAAACATCCTATACATCTTCTTGTGCCACATGGAACATTTCAGATTAAAAATGCACCATCAATAAATCACAATGATATATTGGCTTGGCTTGATGGATGCAAAGAGGGGAAGATTGAAGGGATTGTGTGGCATTGTCCTGATGGAAATTTAATCAAGGTAATCCTGCAAGTTTCATTAAGAAATTGTGATTTTTTTTTAATGTTCAGAAAGCCTAGTGTCCTGGAGCTTATGTTACTCTTACCTTTAAATATGCATATTTGCCAAGAAAGGAAAATTTCTGTGTACATGTACAAAGAGTACAAAGGAAAGCATGAGAAAAGCCTTCAAAAGATACAATGTATATCTTTCAAAGAACATAGCTGCTTTAATGCTTTAACATGCTTTTTGAAGTTATCTCTTTCAAATACTTTTCATAGTCTTATTTCTTTGCTTGTTTCTTCACATATTTTTATGCAAGTATTGTCATTAATAATTATACTGTTAAAAATAGTATTTTAACTGCTTTTCTTTTTTCTTCTTCTTCAAATAGCTTCACAGACATCATCTTGGCTTGTCTTGGCCAATTGTGGATCCTTCTTTGGCATCAAAACCAATTACTGTCACTTTCAATAGAGCCAAGTACAACTTTGAACCAAAGACTCTTTTTCATTATTTTTCAAAGTTGGATGGACAAAGATTCAGTAGTCTTAGAGATATAATAAGTGACTTATGACCAGGTCTCTTCAGAAAATACATTGAATCATCTGTATGCCTGCTTCTTCATTTATAATAATCTAAAGATGTTTAAAATGTTTGTTGAAATGTAATATAAATTGTATTATGTCTACATATTCTTGACTGTAAATACACACACACATACACACGTACATATATAACTGGAGAAACTTCAGTAGAAAAGCTATAAAGAAAACCTTCAGTTCCTAAAGGTGAAATATGCAACATGTTTTTTTTCAAGCAGTGAAAGTTAACTATTAATCTCACAGGTTCTTTTATCTCATTAAAAAAATCGTATCCATTTTTGCTGGCACTGTAATATTTAAGTTTAATAGATTTTATGCAGTGAAGGCATAAAAGAAGAAAACTTTTAGAAACTATATAACCTTACAGTAAAATCTTGTGGTAGTTTACATACTGCTACCAGCATTGGAGAATATTTTTCAATATTTATCAGTCATGAATAGTGTAAGTAAGTCATTTTACTTCAAATATATAGGATCGGTCTGATTCCAGGCTTCCATGTATTTATTTTTAGAAAGGAATACCTGCACTAATTATGAACACATAAGGAACAACTTCCCATTCTGGCATCTCTTTTAAAATGTTTAGATAAGGTTCTTCATTTATAGAGATTTTAATTATCATAAATAACTTTATAATATTTGTAGTAGAATTTTATGTACATTAGGATCATGAACAGATATCTGCTTATGCAGTGACTTGTTATTCTATGGCCCCTTTGGAGCTCCTAAAATCTGATGTAGAACATCTAATTTTCTGGAGCAGATATAAGGAAGCATAACTCCAATTCTGTCAAAACAAAGCAGCATTTTATCTTATTCAAGAACATCTAATTAATGAAAAATGATCTTCAAGTTTGTAACACTTTTATTCAACATAACTTGTCTTAAACATTTTAAATTAGGAATGTATTGTTTTATTCACAATTCATATATTATTCAAACATAGAAAATATATACATATATACTAATAAATTAGCACAATTTAGAAGTAGCAAATTTACATTATTATAATTCCTTTAATCTTTCTTTTGTCTTTAAACTTGTGGAAGCACTAAACCAGATTAAGCAGGCAGGCACTTTGTTAAGACTTGAAAGAAACTGTACAGTATAAGACTTACATATAGCAGAAATAATCTGCATTTTATTGACTTTAAAATAAGTGGGGGGAAATACCTCATGAGCATGTTTTTCATTTTCGATGTCATATATTTAATTTATCTTTAAATACACAGTATTGGCAAGTATCTTGGAAATGTTTTTTCAACAGAAAATGTTTTAGTCAACAGAAATTCTACCTGGAATGTCTACTTGAACTCCAAATTTTTCAGAAAGTGTTTTCAATTGCTCTTCTAAGACAATATTCTTTTTAACTTCTTCATTATAGTTATATTTTAAATCTTCTATTTCCTCAAAAAAGGCTGGATCAAAGTGGTCCAATTCATTTTTAAGCTTTTTGATTTCTTCCTAATGAGAAAAAAACTTTATAAATTAATCCTAACAAACACACAAACACAAGTATGTTCAGTACAATCCATTAATTTCAACAGATATAACAATCTATTATATCTTATTATGCTTTTCCTATATTCAAAATGTGTTCTAGGTTTCTTCATGCCCTATGAATAAAAACATATACACATTCTTGTTCTAATCTGACATTTTGAAAAATGGTTTTTGGTAGAAAAGATCAATTTAACCAAGAATTAAACAGTTTGTATTTAATACATTCTTCACAATATTAACTTCATTTTGCCTCTTTTTTTTTACATTTACAGTCCAATATAAGGGAAATTTGTCTTGAAAATTTTATTTTGCTTAACTTGAAAAGTATCTGAACGTTTAGTAATGAAATACTGTATATAACAATTGATTTCAATGCCACAATATTTTCTAAGCCTATAGACCAGGGGTGTCAAACTGGATTCGGCCCGCAGGGTGCTTAAATCCGGCCCATGGGCCAGCTTGGAAACGGTCTGCATGCAGTCCCCCCTCACCTTTTTTTTTACTCTCCATGGCCTGCAGCACTCTGCCCGCTGAAACTGGGTCAAAAAATGGGTTGAAAATGAGCTGGAAAATGGGCCATGGGGCCCATTTTCGACTGTCAGAGTGCTGCAGGTGGCCATGGGAGGCAAAAATGAGGCATAAGGTGGGTACATGCAGGCCTCCCGCACCCCATTTTGGCTGGCAGAGTACTGCAGGAGGCATCCATCCTGCCCCCCCACTGCCCCCTCCTCGCCACTGGCCTGCAGAGAACTACAATGCTGATCCGGCCCTCGAAGAAATCCAGTGACACCACTGCTATAGACCGAATGGATATTTTGCAAATGACCAACGAATTGAAAAATTACTGTACTAACATGAAGTCGCTGCTGTTCCAAATCTGAAGATTTAAGCTGTGTCTTGAGGTCTGTTACTTCTGCCACTAGTTTGTAGTTTCCAGTTTTCTCTATTCAAATAGAAGTTTACAGATATACATACAAATGAATACATTTTCATATATCTAAGAAGTATGTTTGAGAACAGCTGTATGGCATTAGCTTTTTTTATTCAAGGGTATAATATTCTATACTACTTATGTAATTGATAACATAAGTTATTCCAGGCGGTATTCCGGGAGGCTGATCCAACCACCGATAGGCGGTGGCACTGACAGGTGGCGTGGTGACAGGCTGTTTGCCGTTGCTGCCTGTTGCCTCTGCTGAACCCCCTCCCCGCCGCCGCCCAGTTTGTGATGCAATATTCACTCCATAAGACGCACAGTCATTTCCACCCACTTTTGAGGGGGAGAAAAGTGTTTCTTATAGTGCAAAAAATACAGTATTTTATATATTACCAGCTGCAAGGTCATCTCTAAGTTTTCTTTGATTTTGAGAAGATTCCATCAGGTAAATTTGTTCTCCTTTTTCCTTTTCCAAATCATGATTAGTTAATCTATAAGAAAACAAAATAAAGAGCAGAAGTTGATGAAGCTTTTGCTAATGTTTTTGTTCTGTTTAACAAAGGAAACATTTTGTGTGCTTTACCGGAGAAGTTGATTTTCTCTGACATATTCTTGCTCTGTTTTGGTACCCTCAGGAACACTTTTGAGGACTTCAGCCTTTGCATGAAAATAAAAGTTTAATTTTAATATTAGGATCTTCAAAGTATGGACTAGACTTCAGTGCAGTGATTCATGTATTGGATTGAAGTGGAGGAAAACCCATCTAAAATCTACATGTATAATGGAATTTACAAGATGATTTTGATATTCTGCCAATTTAACACGCCAAGTCAAAACAATTTTCATGTGTGCCACTTTCAGCTTACAAAAGTAAAATAAGATAAATAAGCTACAAGGTATCTTTTGCAGAAGAAATGTGTCATTTCTCTTTTCTGCCATTCTTTAACTTGTAAATTGGTAAAAAGAAAAGCTTACTGCAGAAGAGGACCTTGTCCTCTTATGGGATACAGATCCTTACTTTTAATCTCATCAAACTGATTTAAAAAATATATAAAAGAACTCAGTGACAATTGTTTTGCAAAGTAAAGCAAATGAGTTACAGTGGAACCTTGGGTCACGACCACAATCCATTTTAGGACTATGGTTTCAACCTGATTTGGTCGTGACTGGAAGCACAGCCAACTGCGCATGCGTGGACAGACTGCACATGCACGGAAGGGAAAATCGTCACAGCAAGGGAATCTGCCATGGCCGAGTTTGTCCATCACCTGATTTTTGAATCGTGACCCGATTCGAAAATTGTGTAGATTTTTTTGATCAGAACCCAATTTGATCGCGAACAGGAGTGTTTTGCAACTCAAGGTTTCACTGTATTGTGAAGGGATGAGGTTTCAGATGTCCTCTGTAACTTGTACGTGTGCCTGATCCGAACTCCATATAAAACAATATTAAGAGAGTAAAAGCAATATACAATAAAATAGTCCATGCCAATCAGGAACAATTAAAAGGATAGGATTCTAAAAAGATTTATAAAGCTTTAATCTCCTGATCATAGATGCCCATTCTAGAAAGTTTTTCCCCAGTAATCAGAGAACCAGGAGTGGAATGGTAAATAACCTGCTCTCTAGACACCAATCAGAACAGAAAAAACAATGCACTTACAAAGGAAGAAACTGCATTAAAACATATCTATGGAGATTGTCAATTATCCAGGTCATGGTTGTCCCAAAGGTGCCTTTTTCCCCCCTCTGGACTTTCTGGTTTTTCTTTGAAGACGTTTTGCTTCTCATCCAAGTCAGAGCTGAAGAAACTTCTTGGATGAGAAGCAAAATGTCTTCAAAGAAAAATCAGAAAATCCAGTTGCCTCTTGGAAAAAAAAACATCTTTGCATTAAAATATCTTACCAGTAAAATATAAATGCCTAAGCGACAAATTGGGTCGAGGAAAGAGATCTAAAATAACTTGGTGTGTAAGCTTAGTAAATAGACTTGCAATCACATTTAAAGGGCTATTATATCGAATGGTGATTTGGGAAAATATTCTTAACATTATCCAATTGCAAAAACAAATCTTATCAGAGATGACTTCCACAACAACCACAGCCCTGAAAACGGGAAGGAAGAACACCCAGACCTTGACGACAACTTTGGCAACTGCCTCCCCAACAACGCAGAAAACTATAGAAGAGACCTTGACAGGAGAAAAACAACCGACCGTCACTAATGCCAATCTGCAAGCGACACTATTATCCCTGCAAGAGTCAATGTCTAGAATGCAGGAGATTATGATTAGGAATCACAATGAGACCAGAGCCGATATTAGCGAACTGAAGGAAGAAATGGGGAAATTAAAAGAGGAGATGAGAGCAGATATACAAAAAGTCGAAGATAAGGTGGGGACAATGCAATTGGCTATGGAAAGAACTGAAATAAAAATAAAAGAAATAGAGAGGAGGACAGAACGAGCAGAGAGGAACCTAGAAAGGACTGAAGAAGGCTTTAAAAGTATTAATAGAGAAATGGAAGATTCCTTGGTCCAACTTGAGATGGACAGAGCAGCGGCATACCTAAGGTTCCAAAACGTGGAGGAATCCAAAAATGAAGAACTAGCGCAATTAATGGCAGGTTTGTTGGCTGATCTAGTTGGAAAAGAAAAAGATGACTTACTCAAAGAATTCGACGAAGTCTATAGGGTGAATACCAGTTACGCAAGGTGTCACAAGTGCCCAAGGGAGATCCATATCCGCTTTTCAAGAAGATGCGTGAGAGACCTAATACTTAGAATGGCCAGAGATGAGAG